TCCGAAAATTTAATTCCCCCAAAAAGTTTTTTTTTGCCCGAAAAAATTTTTAAAAAAAAAAAAAAAAAAAAAAAAGAATTTCTGGGAAACAAAAAAAAAAAAACTGTGTGAATTTACTCTAATTTATACGTGTTCAATATAATAAACACAGACTGACAAACATATATATACACCAGAATATTTCAAGTGTGTCTTTGCAAGTCGAACCTGACTGTTCTTGCACTGCTTCATCAAAGTCGGAGACAAACAATTAGAACAACCAGTACCAGTCCAGAAAGTCTCACTCAATTTCAGCTACAGCATTCAAGTTTTAAAGGATGGAATTTGGCTTGATTGAACACTGTACTCCAAAGTGATCAAATCTCAATCAAACAGAGTTTTTTTTTTGTTTGTTTTTTTTTAAGAATGTGACAGAACGTCAGGTTTGCATCAAAAAAAGAAACANTCAATTTATCCAGCGGTAGCTATTTTACTCCATCTGTCAGCAAAAGCACTTTGTCCTCCTAAATGCATGTGAATTTACAGTGTACTTGTGACCCCTTCACTAAGGAACTGTTCACGATTTAAAAACATAAAACAGTGTCAGGGAGTCGGGCTTCGATTCCTCTGGGTCCCAGTACCCCACAGCACTCCACAGCTTCTTTATCAAACCCCGGCAGCTCTTGTTGTTGTTGGCAGCTTACTCCTATCATCAGAGCCGGAGGGATTATGGGATAGCGAGTGAGGAGGTTTACTACCGAGAAAGACTGAGGGAGACCCTTCTATGTGCCACAACCCAACTGGGAGCACCTAGACTCTATGACAAGATGACATACGCTGAGAGAGAAATGTGAAGGCTTATGTGCAGGAAAAAAGGAAACTGCTTTCAGATTTTGTCAGACAAAGCAGAAAACGTTCCCTTGCTTTTTCTTGTGTTCTGCCAGTAAGTCGCATCAATGTGTCACCCTCAGCCCTTGTTGGGAAATGAGATGGGGAAACCAAAGGCGTCTGTTTTGTGTATGCCATGTCGATGGAAGAGGTTTGCACTTTTTTTTTTTTTTGCCCTTTTATCGCTAAGCTTAACTTAGTGATGAAAGAGCCGTTTGAACTCTAACTCCTACACAGGTTTCCCACTATCACAATTTAAAGTTTTGAATGAGTCACTAGCGCGAGGAGAAAGACGGCAACGAAATCGACCAAAAGTTTAGAGCAAGGAGAAGTCTTGTCTGCGTTTTTTTTTTGTTTTGTTTTTTTCCGTCACCATTTAATTGAAGTTAAGGCAGTTATTTCGGTCCAATAACTTTTTCAGACAAGAACGTTGCTCTCCAAGATGATAAATACAGTGTCTTGGAAAAAATATGAACAATCTCTAAACTTTTTCACATTTTGCCACAGAGACATCAGTGTAATTTTTTTAGGAGAGACCAACACAAATTAGGGCATAATTGTGAAGTATAACCAATTTATGGTTTTTAAAAGAGTAAAAACTAAAAAAAAAAAAAAAAGCTCCCAATTGGCCATGTCGGGGATCCATAGCTGAGACGGGAGAATCTGACAGGACAACTATTAGTTTTACACCCCACAAGTCTGACCTTTATGGAAGAGTGGCAGGAAGAAAGCTTTGTTGAAAGAAAGATTTATGATCAGTGTGAAACTTTTCATAAGCCATATAGGGAACACAAAAAAAAAAAGAGGGGAAAACCTGTTCCATTAGACGAGGCTAAAACTAGTCTTTTTGTCGTTCGTATCCATGTCTGAAGGAAAACCAACACTCTCACCACCCTGACTGCACCATCTCCCCTGTGAAACATGGAGGTGGCCTCATCATGGTGTGGAAACGCCTCCCTTCAGCAGGGACATAAACAATGGGACGATGGACTCAGATAAATACAGAGACAAATCAGTTAAGACCTTCAGCTTCCAGCAGGACCATCAACCTAAACATAGAATTACAATGGCGATGAGATGCATTGTCGCCATTGTATGTGGCAAGCTTTAAAAACGAATGCTGACTGACCCTCTCCCTCCAATTTGAATAGGGTGGAGCTGTTCTGCCTGGAAGAATGGGCAAAACGGTTTCTTCTTGAGATGTGTAGGCCCTAAAAGACTTGTAGCTATGATTACAGTGTAAACTGGTCTGTATTGACTATTTAGGATTATTGCAAATGCATCCCGAAATGTTCAGATTTCTATTTGTAAAAAAACAAAAACAAAAAAAAAAAAGGTTCAGAACCGTGTGTTCACTTGTGTTGGCCCATGACAAAATATTCCAATGAAATACATTGACATTTATGGTTGGAATGCAGCAAAATGTGAAAAAAAATTAAAAAAAAAAAAAAAAATATCAAGCAACCCTAACCCCAGTGAATTATAGTCAAACAGAAGGAGTAAACATCTCTCCCATCAGCTGGCGGAGACATAATCCAGTCAGACCACATCTAATTGACCATCTGATGACCACACAACTTTCTTGACTCAGACTGTGACCCCACGTCCAGATAGCACGGGTCGCAAAAGGGTCAGTGGACTGCGAGAGTGGGAGAACGGGATGGAGGACGCGCCAAGCGAGCGTTCGCTCCCGGCTGACACTTACTCACACTGTAACTCCAGTAAATCTATTAGTCTGACTGTCAAAGGGAGGATGGAAGCCAGCATGGGGAGTTTGGACTGATTACCGACGTGGTCAGCAAGAAAAAGGGGTCGAAAGCCTCGACTGCTTTTTTGTTTATCCCCTTTGGCAATCCGGAGCCTTACAAAAGCAGATATCACTTGAATTTATGGACAGCATTTGCTCAAATAAGTGAAAGGGAACAACTGGGAGAAATGGAAGAGAGGAGAAAGAAAAATAGCGTAGCACTAAAACAAATTTTTTGGTGCAACAAAGCCATCCATAATTTTTAATGAGGACACGTTTGCATATTGCAGATCATACCATTATAGACTTTTATAGTTATTTCTGGCAGTTCATATTCACATGACAGATTATACCTTACACCTCTGCTTTTTTTTTTTTTTTTTTTCTGAAGTGTGAAAACAAAGCAATATTCCTTCAGGGCATACAAATCAAATAACTAAAGTCATTGTGTGCGTTCACGCTCTACTTTCATAGCTCTATCAGATAAGCCCCAGGAGACAGTTATTTTATGTTGCTAGTCATTTCCCTCATGTCTTAGCACAACAATTGTGGCATTATAACAGGTTTTCTGTCAAGATACAAGTCTACATGTTTGAATACTGGGAGCATATATGGACACTGTGCTCCGACACATTGTGCTTGGTTATTTTTTCCTTTCATTTGTAGCCATAGTTGCCGACATCCCAGCTGTAAAAAAAAAAAATTACAGAGTGACATAGAGCTGTAAGTTTCAACAAATTTAAGTTACATACTTTATATTCAAAAAAAGAGACAACTCCATGTGCAGGAGCCTTGATACACACAGCTCCTTGGGGATGTAGTAAGGCCTGGCTTGAGAGACCACAGCTTCACTTGGATTTCTATAGAAATCTACTGGCAGGGGGGCTAAAGACAATATCTACTGACTGGAGCTCAGTCAGTAGATATTGTCATCAGAAAAGATATTTTTTTCTTTTCTGATGAAAAGAAAAAAAAAAGTTTAGAGAGGAGAGGAAAAGAAACCTTTTACTACACAAAAGGTCTTTTTAACCAAGCCTTGGAGTTGAAAAGTCAGTAATTTTTTTTCCAATTTTTTTAGTCTGTTAAAAATGTTTTTTTTTTTTTTTTCTCTTTTGGACTTTACTCATATCTCTACATCATATGGTTAAATACAAGAACTTCTTTCACTCTCATTTTTTCTTATAAATTATGATTAAGATTATCTGTGTGCATGCACAGTTAAAAAAAAAACAAACTTAAAACTGGGCTTGAACAAGTTCAAGTCAAGAGTGTCTTGAACAATGTTAATGTCAAATGCATACATGGTGCTGTTGGACCTTGACTCATTTTCCTTGGGCTCAATATTCAATCTTCAGGACCTCAGGTGACTTTCCCCACCTTGTTCCTCCGTCTATTTCCTTTCTGATTACTGTACATCTGGGAGTTGAGCAAAATAGTTTTAATTCAACCACACTGGAGATTTTTAAAACAAGATCAGCCTTGTGCCAAAGCACATACATGCTTTGGTATGTGCTTCAAAAGTGCTTTGGTATGTGCCAAAGCACTTTAAAAGAGTCAATGTAGCCTGGACGTTGACTGTCCGGTTAATTGTCAGGTTAATTGGCCTCTCTAAATTCTCTCTAGGTGTGAGTAGGGAGAATTTAGTAGTAGGTTGTTTGTCCTGTGTTGCCCTGTGACAGACTGGCGTCCTGTCCAGGGTGTACCCCGCCTCTCACCCGAAACGTTTGCTGGAGATAGGCACCAGCAACCCTCCTGACCCCACTAGGGACAAGGGTGTTAGAAGATAGATGGATGGATGGGTTAAATACTTTTTCATGGAAATGTATTAATTTTGAATCTCAATATTTTAGCATCCAAAAACCTTCAACACAGAAAAAAAAAAAAAAAAAAACCTACTCAAAATAACCTAAGGGAAATAGCAAAAATAAAGCTACTTATGCACTGTTGTTGCTCTGGGGACACACATTTATAGGTGTGCACAATGAGAACCACAACACATAATAACGCCTAAATGATCCAATACGTCTCTTAATGCTTTCCACCTTAAAGAGAGAGGCAAACTATTGTCAGACCTTTCCAGCGTGACAACCAAATTAATTAGGAAGATGGAGTCCAACTTCTTAATTACAGCTCTAAGCCTGGAAATAATTGGTGCCTCTGAGAAGGTAATTCAAAAGAGGGAAGCTCCATCCAAAAGTCCCCTTTTGAAGGACGCAGTTAAAAGGTGCTGGCTGTGAGTGAAATGAGCCCATTTCTAAGGCCTGTCTTTGAAAATAATGAATCATAGTATACCATGGCCTTGAAGCCGCAAGCAGGAGAAGAGAGGGTACAAAGGAGAGGGTTAAGTTTCAGTTCGTTCCTCCTTCAGGTTTGGTACGAATAAACTTTACAGCATTTTATATGTTTATCTACTCTAGATGGGAGAAAGTGTAAAGAATGGTCCACGAAACTGGTCCGATAAAGGGGTTTCCCCCCATGAATGCTGTCATTTTTAGTGTTTATGTTCCAAAAGGCAATCTTGAGATTAAAATCAAAGTGGTTAAATGTCAAAAACTGATGTCAACTGACTCAAAAAGAAAAAAAAAAAAGAACAAGTCAAGACTTTTACACTCTGACAGATATACAATATTTGACTGCATCTTTATTTCATTTTATTAGAGACAACAAAAGATCACTTTAAACCTGAAAAGATGAATTCTATTATTTTGGACTCAGCTGTATTGAGTCAATGTAAATTTACAGTAATTCCACTCTATACTCCATTTGACATAAGATGTAAAGGACATAATTACCAGATTTTATGTCCTGATCACAGGAGCATCAATCCCTTGAATGCGTGCTAGGCTTGTTGGTAACTATGCCGTTTTGTGCCCCCGCACAACGGCTGGTACTTAATTTTAAGTCATTGCAGGAACAAGTGAAGCTCTGATAAGAAAATCCTCCATCTGTAAAGCTTGATTGGATACAGTTCTTGCCTCACTCATGGATTAATGGAAAGAGAAAAGTTGTTTACAGTTTATTAAACAGACTCTGTGTGGTTTAACTGTCAAGAACAACAAGAAGAAAAACGGGTTCGCAGAGTTATATTTTAGCCGCAGAAGGTTGTTTTTCCTTGTGTGGCGTCTTTAGCCTTCTGTTTGCTTAGCTCCCCAGGACAGGCTGCTTCCCGTCTGCGTTTTCAGTGAGACATGAGAACGGAGAGGCGCAACAAATCAAAAATAATCAGCGGTTCAGTCTAATAAACGGCTAGAGAGTGTCTTGATAAAGCATTTTTAACTCTTGAACTTTTCCATATTTTGGCATGTCACAACCACGAACTGGAGTCTATATGTGTTACAGCAACGCAAGGTAGGCCGCATTTATAAAGTACGATGAAAAGAATACCTGTTTTTTTTTTTGTTGTTTTTTTTTAAATAATAGTCTGAATTTGTGCACAAGTGTAATTAGGCCCCCTAATTCAGTATATTGTAGAAGAATATTTTCCTTTCAGCTTTTTTTTTGTTGTTGTTTTGTCTCTACCAGGCTAAGTCAGACTAAGAGAGGATTTTTGAACTGCAATTTTAACAGATTCAGAATTGGATTGAGGTCCTTACTTTGACTGTGCCATTCAATCACAAACCGCTTTCAAACACACCGTTTCTAACTGATTGTTTATTAGCCTTGCCCCACTGGAGGGCAAACATCAGCCACAGG